GATTACTAGTCTGACGAATGGAAAGGCATGCAAACTTGAAACTTTTCAGAAGGCAAGAATGTGCTTGTTTTGGAAAAGAATGACGAACATTGCGAAACTCCCTTCCTGTACCAGAGCTCCCCAGTAAAATATTCCCATCCCTCATTCTCAAATCATTCTTATGTCTGGAAGAAAGGTAATAAAGGGTGTTTAAAAGTAATTGCACTGATTCAAAATAGCTATTTTGCATTTTCAGCAATTGCTATGGTTTTACTGCTGAACTGTTCAAGAATTCCAGATTTAAATGGTCTTCTGTTAACTATGATCTATTATGTGTAGTTCTTGTCATATTTAACCAATAGCAATAAGTTGCTTTTTTCTGCATGACATCTTTCTATATGAGACTGATTTTATCTCTACTGTACAGTTACTTTTGAAACACCCTGTAAATTGCCTTTCTGCAAAAAAATTTTTTCTGCATTTAAGGTCGTAGGTCTGTCGGTTCTCCGACTTGTGACGATAATGCATTCGTGGCCTGTGAAGTCAAAGGAGACACTGACTTCTGAAGTTGTGACTTATGAAGTTGTGACTGATGTGCTACTTGTGGCCAGGGGAAGCTACAGCTTGACTGGATCCAAGGTGCTTGGAGATTCAGACCCAAGGCAAGAGTGTAGGGTGTTGAGGTTTGTAAGAAAAGACAGAAAGATCTGTGAGTGCTGATTTGATATGGTTTCCAAAGGCAAAGTGTTTTGAATAGGTAAAATGTCATGATTTCACAGCACTCTTTCATAGTTAGATGCCTTTGGATGATATGCGAAACCAGCAAATACAGAACTCTGCAGGTCAAGGTCATCTGCCAAGAGGGGGGTTAACACTTATAGCATGCTGCATGTCACAATTTTGGCAAAAAGTTTTTTTTAATTTCACTGAATCTCATAGAATATCTGAAAAAACAAAACAAAATAACTTAATTAGGGTCAAATTACTTTAATAACCATTTTGGAGAAACTGATAGCTACTTTTCACCAAAGCTACAAGTTATCACAATCCAGTGAAACTCTTCTCTTTTTCCTGTTGGTATTAATTACCTTGACTCGTAATTTTGTGCAATTGACGAAGACTCATTTCCTCTCAGGTGAGGGAAATTATGAATTCCTCAAATCTTGGAGATTTCTCTGCAGAGCAAACTACTTTAGTGCCATATCCAAGCTTGGGAGCATTTGGTGGTCTTCCATTAAATGACCGTGGCAGAGAAAAAGTTTCATGTGAGGAGGCATTTTCAGAAGTGAAGATAGAGTATTCTGGAGTTGATTGGGATTGCTTCAGGCACCTGAGGGAGAAGTCCCTCGGAGAAGTGAAGCAACAGTGTTGCCGCGACGCTCAAAGGAGAACTGAGACCACGCGTGTCAAAACTCAGTTCAAATGAGACTCTTCTCTCCTGTGAAAAGTTCAAAGAAACATTCGGGCTGATGAACAACTCTGAATGGCCCAAGCTCTTGCACTCGGAGGAAAGACGATTCAAATGCGACACCTGTGGCAGGGTATATCACCAGAAAGATAATCTAAATGCCCATATATGGCTGAAACATTCAAGTGGGAGGACAATCAAGTGTGGTGCATGTGGGGAATCATTCAAAGTAAATCCTGATTTGGGCCATCGTGTCAACCAAGTCCATTCTATCGAAAAGCCATTCATATGTAAACCATGTGGAAAAGGATTCTCGTCAAAGTTGCAGCTTCGACACCCCATACTTGTTCACACAGTTGAAAAGCCGTTCAAGTGTGAAACCTGCGGCAGTGCATTTCGTCAGAAAGTTACTCTGCACATCCACCAGCAGCTCAAACATTCGAATAACCGGCCATTCAAGTGTGATGAGTGTGGGAAGTCTTTCAAAGTGAAGCCTGGTTTAAGACAGCATGTCAAGCAAGTCCATTCCATTGAGAAGTCATTCAACTGTGAAACCTGTGGCTGTGCATTTCATCACAGAGATAATCTGAACCTGCTTCAACAGCAAAAACATGCAAAAGAAAGGCCATTCAAGTATGGTGTGTTTTGTAATTAATTGAAAGCAAAATCCTTGTTTTGTACCTAGCATTGTGTCAGCTAAGTCTGTTCCACCAAGAGGTCCTTCATATATGGTGTGTGTGGGAATTTTTTCACATGTGACACCTGCAGCATTGCAGTTTACAGCCAAGATCATTTTGGATCTGCACTTCATTGCCTTCCCCTCATCGCAGAATACTGGAGTGCCATTGTAAAATGGAAAACTTTAAATATCTACTATATATACAGTGGGGAAATGAAAGTCCCCAGCTAGAGCTTGTTTTTTGTAACTATATCTGTCATTTTCTTCTCTCCTATCTCAGGCAGGGGGAAGTTGAGATCTATCGTTTCGTATCGGAATAAATGTCATCCTAAAGCAAGCTTGATTATTTATTTGATATGTAATAGTTATCTGTTTTGAAGGAACAGAAGTAAATCAGGATTATTCTTTATTAGTTCTTATGTGTCTTGTGTTTCTCGTGAAAATGTATATTGCTCAGTGAAAAACTGTCGAAAACAAGCGAACAATGCTGGAAATAAAATTGTCAGCTGGAGTGTCCCTTTTTCCTTCAGCTGTCACACATTTCATTGCGCACCAAAAGTGAGATAGGAATTCGGCTGCATGTCAGCTGGTCAACTTGTAAGGGGGAGAAGCATTTCCCCTGCATATCTTGTGATGGTGTCTATTTTTGAGGTCTTCCCGTATTTTCTGATTGAGTTTTTGTCTACTTTTTTTTTTTAGGTTTGGCACTCGCATGCAATCGAATCATTTTTTTCTGTTTTGGCCCTCGAACCTTGAGGGACGGCATCCTCGAGTTCCTCGAATGTAATGTCTTGCTGCCGGTGAGTCAAGGCTCAACCAGGTGGTGGATTTCATCTCCATTGCATCAGACTCATTCTCAAGTTGTCACTTCTTATGATGTACCATTTTTGGTACCATTACTGATTAGTGCCTTGCACGCCTTTGTGCAGGTCCAAGTGCCTGAATTCTCGCATCAATGGATGCTATATAATGTTGCAAATGCAGGATTTTGCAGTGGTGATTGAAAGTATTGAGGCTCATCATGCCCAACAATTACTATCTGATGAACAGGTAAGCGTATGTAGAAATTATTATGCATCATTCTCTGATCAAACAAGATTGAACTATGTTGTTCAAATGAATTTATTACTGATTTCTTACTACTTCAACTAATCAAAATAATTTCATTAGTTGAATTCATATTAGGTTGAGGCATAAGTTCTGACCCTCTATGACCTATGCTTAGAAATTTGACTGTCATTTTCTGATGTAAAATTCTGGCAGCTATTGCGTTTTGTACTTGGTTGCCGGTTGTCAGCCGAGTATTTTAATACCTCATTTGCCTCAAACCGTTTATTGTGTCGCTCCATTTTTCAGCACAATGATTGACAAAAATGTTTACTTCCGCGCCCTCTTACTTTACGCGTACCACCGCAAGCTGACCGCGACCGCTGCGTACCGAGAACTGCTGGAAACGTACGGTGAAACTGCTCCAAGTCTTTCGACATGCAAGAGATGGTTCAAGAAATTCGCCTCTGGGAGCGACGACATTGATGACAAACCCCGCTCTGGACGACCCGCTGAGCTGAAGNTTCAAATGAGACTCTTCTCTCCTGTGAAAAGTTCAAAGAAACATTCGGGCTGATGAACAACTCTGAATGGCCCAAGCTCTTGCACTCGGAGGAAAGACGATTCAAATGCGACACCTGTGGCAGGGTATATCACCAGAAAGATAATCTAAATGCCCATATATGGCTGAAACATTCAAGTGGGAGGACAATCAAGTGCGGTGCATGTGGGGATTCATTCAAAGTAAATCCTGATTTGGGCCATCGTGTCAACCAAGTCCATTCTATCGAAAAGCCATTCATATGTAAACCATGTGGAAAAGGATTCTCGTCAAAGTTGCAGCTTCGACACCCCATACTTGTTTCACACAGTTGAAAAGCCGCTCAAGTGTGAAACCTGCGGCAGTGCATTTCATCAGAGAGGTGCTCTACACATCCATCAGCAGCTCAAACATTCAAATGAAAGGCCATTCAAGTGTGATGAGTGTGGGAAGTCATTCAAAGTGAAGTCTAATTTAAGGCATCATGTCAAGCGAGTCCATTCCATTGAGAAGCCATTCACATGTGAACCATGTGGAAAGGGATTCAAGTCAAAGTGTCGACTTCGACGTCATATACTTGTGCACACAGATGAAAAGGCATTCAAGTGTGAAACCTGTGGCAGTTCATTTCATCGCAAAGATCATCTGCGCATCCATCTACTGCGCAAGCATACCAATGAAAGGCCATTCAAATGTGATGTATGTGCAAATTCATTCAAAACAAAATATAATTTAAGGTCCCACACCAAGTGTGTTCATTCCAGTGAAAAGCCATTCAAATGTAATCAGTGTGGAAAGGCATTCAAGTGTGAAACCTGTGGCTGTGCATTTCATCACAGAGATAATCTGAACCTGCTTCAACAGCAAAAACATGCAAAAGAAAGGCCATTCAAGTACGGTGTGTTTTGTAATTAATTGAAAGCAAAAACCTTGTTTTGTACCTAGCATTGTGTCAGCTAAGTCTGTTCCACCAAGAGGCCCTTCATATATGGTTTGTGTGGAAATTTTTTCACATGTGACACCTGCAGCATTGCAGTTTACAGCCAAGATCATTTTGGATCTGCACTTTGTTGCCTTCCCCTCATCGCAGAATACTGGAGTGCCATTGGAAAATGGAAAACTTTAAATATCTACTCTATATACAGTGGGGAAATGAAAGTCCCCAGCTAGAGCTTGTTTTTTGTAACTATATCTGCCATTTCTTCTCCCTTATCTCAGGCAGGGGGAAGTTGAGATCTATCATTTATAATAAATGTCATCTTAATAAATGTCATCCTAAAGCAAGCTTGATTATTTATTTGATATGTAATAGTTATCTGTTTTGAAGGAACAGAAGTAAATCAGGATTATTCTTTATTAGTTCTTATGTGTCTTGTGTTTCTCGTGAAAATGTATATTGCTCAGTGAAAAACTGTCGAAAACAAGCGAACAATGCTGGAAATAAAATTGTCAGCTGGAGTGTCCCTTTTTCCTTCAGCTGTCACACATTTCATTGCGCACCAAAAGTGAGATAGGAATTCGGCTGCATGTCAGCTGGTCAACTTGTAAGGGGGAGAAGCATTTCCCCTGCATATCTTGTGATGGTGTCTATTTTTGAGGTCTTCCCGTATTTTCTGATTGAGTTTTTGTCTACTTTTTTTTTTTAGGTTTGGCACTCGCATGCAATCGAATCATTTTTTTCTGTTTTGGCCCTCGAACCTTGAGGGACGGCATCCTCGAGTTCCTCGAATGTAATGTCTTGCTGCCGGTGAGTCAAGGCTCAACCAGGTGGTGGATTTCATCTCCATTGCATCAGACTCATTCTCAAGTTGTCACTTCTTATGATGTACCATTTTTGGTACCATTACTGATTAGTGCCTTGCACGCCTTTGTGCAGGTCCAAGTGCCTGAATTCTCGCATCAATGGATGCTATATAATGTTGCAAATGCAGGATTTTGCAGTGGTGATTGAAAGTATTGAGGCTCATCATGCCCAACAATTACTATCTGATGAACAGGTAAGCGTATGTAGAAATTATTATGCATCATTCTCTGATCAAACAAGATTGAACTATGTTGTTCAAATGAATTTATTACTGATTTCTTACTACTTCAACTAATCAAAATAATTTCATTAGTTGAATTCATATTAGGTTGAGGCATAAGTTCTGACCCTCTATGACCTATGCTTAGAAATTTGACTGTCATTTTCTGATGTAAAATTCTGGCAGCTATTGCGTTTTGTACTTGGTTGCCGGTTGTCAGCCGAGTATTTAGTCAGTCACGATCGTCTATATATATTAGATATACGCATTTTATGGGGTATATTCTATTCCTGTTTGCGCTCTGCCTGATATCCTATGATTATTAAAAATAGACCTACATCGAAATTTCCAAGAGAACTAACTACTTCGAAACACGATCAGATCGAAAATCTCTACTTGTGTACTTCACATACTGTAGATTAACCTCAGGGGTTAGAGAGAAGTTCACAGTCACGACTTTTCAATACTATCCCCTTGCACTACGTAGTAGCAATAATGGACTTATTTTCTCCCATAATCACCCTGGTCCACCATTAGGGTCGAATTCATAGGGAGAACACATAACTTCCATTAGGCCACATCATAGAATTATACATCAAAACCACGTCTCATCACTCCACAGGAAGGTCTAACCTATCTCATTTTCCCTAACCATATCTACTTTCTAATATCCCAGTCTCTTAATGGTCTTATCTCTCTTTTTCTTATCGACAATTTTTTATTTGCTAATGGCGCCATAACTCTCCTCTCGTACTTTGGCTTGTTGACCTCATGCATTAATGCTTAAGAGCATCACATATATTCCAGAAAATCGTAACAATACAAGGAATCTGCACATTAAATTATTTTTAATATCAGCATTTTGCCCAAACTTTCATAAAGAAAGAATTAACTTACATAAACTTAACGGATCCAAATCATCAAGGGAAATATATTGGTTTGGCAAGAGAGTTCTTGCAGTTTTCGCCTTTTCTCACTAGGAAGCCTCACGAATTTTCTATAATTTTCCCGCTTCGCCTTTAAATAGTCTCCCTTATTGCGCACAGGTTCAGTGTATTAGGTTGAGGCATAAGTTCTGACCTTCTATGACCTATGCTTAGAAATTTGACTGTCAATTTTTTATGTAAAATTCTGGCAGCTATTGCGTTTTGTACTTGGTTGCCGCTCGTCAGACGAGTACTTTGATATCTCATTTGCCACAAACCGTTTATTGTATCGCTCCATTTTTCAGCACAATGATTGACAAAAATGTTTACTTCCGCGCCCTCCTACTTTACGTGTACCACCGCAAGCTGACAGTGATCATTGCGTACCGAGAACTGCTGGAAACGTACGGGGAAACTGCTCCAAGTCTTTCGACATGCAAGCGATGGCTCGAGAAATTCGCCTCTGGGAGCGACGACATTGATGACAAATCCCGCTCTGGACGACCCGCTGAGCTAAAGAACGAAGATCTGCAGCAGCTGCTGAATGATGACCCGGGCCAATCTTCACATCAACTTGGACAGCAGCTCTGATGCGACCAAAAAACCGTCATCAGACATCTCCACGACTTCAGCAAGGTGCACAAACGAAGCATTTGGGTACACCACGAACTCAGCGAAGAAAACAAGGCTCAATAGCTGACGATTTGTGCTTCACTCCTGTCGCGCCAAAACAGGGAGTCGTTTTTGGGCCGGATCATTACGGGGGATGAGAAGTGAGTCAGCTACGACAAAGTCACTCGCAAGTGGCAGTGGTTGGACGCGGACCAGGCAGTCACAGACGCCGAAAGCTGAGCTGCACCCGAAGCGCCACCTCATTTGGTGGGACCGGCACGGTGTGATCCATTTTGAGCTACTCCAAAAGAACCAGACAATCACGGCGGACCTCTACTCCAACCAGCTTCAACGCCTTTGCGAAGAATTGCACAGAAAACGTCCAACACTTATCAACCGAAAGGGCGTCATTCTCCAGCACGACAACGCTCGACCACATGTCGCGAAGGCGACCAAGGAAAAGATCAAGGAGCTCGGATGGGAAACGCTGCCTCATCCACCGTACTCTCCGGACATAGCGCCATCAGATTACCACCTGTTCCGGTCTCTGCAACACCACCTCGCCGACAGCTGCCACAAAAACTACGACAACCTTCGTCAAGACCTGGCTACGTACTTCGAGTCTAAACCAGCCGAGTTCTACGAGCGAGGCATCGACCAACTGCCCGAGCGCTGGGCGAAGGTCATTGAACACAATGGTCAATATTTCATTGATTGAGATTGCTTTTTATCTGTTGAAAATAAATAAAAAGGTTGCTTCGCCTAAGAGGGTCAGAACTTATGCCTCAACCTAATATTATGCTGCCATTTATAATGGTGAAACTCCATAGTTCTGCAAAATCTGCTCATTTTGACTTCCTTCAGCAATATTGTCTCAGCCAGTTTTATGAATAGTATAAAATTATTTTCTCTCATTGCAACTCAGTGAACTTTCATTTCTCTGCTCGCGTGAATAGCCTTCACCTGGAATTTTGTGCACTTGACATGGTGTTATCTTCACTCAGGTGAAGGAAACTATGGATTCATCAAATCTTGGATATTTTTCAAATGCCCAAGCCACAGAAGAAGTTACTAGTGAGGAGTCAGAAGTGAAGATAGAGTTTTCAGGACTTCACATTGATTACCTCAGTCACCTAAGCGAAGAGTCTCCTTGAGATGCCAAGATCGATGAGCAAAAGAGACAGAATGAGGGAAGAAAACGGCAGGGTGCACTGCCTTCACAGGAGTCCTTGTGTTCCTTGGAATCCTGTAGCGGTTTCACCAAAGCATTCAGAGAAGGAGAACTGAGACCACATTTGCTGCAATACCATTCTGATGAAAAGCTTCTCTATTGCGAAGAGGACGACAGAGAATCCAGGTCGATGAATGGCCTTGATGGTCACAAGCTGTTGCACTCGGGGGAAAGACCATTTAAATGTGACACATGCACTTGCGCATTTTCCTGCAAATCCATTCTAAGTGCCCATATACAGCATAAACACTCAAGTGAGAGACCATTCAAGTGTGGCGAGTGTGGAAAGTCGCTCAAAACAAAATGCAGGTTAAAGCGTCACGTCACCCAAGTCCCATTCCGTCGAGAAACCATTCACACGTGAACAGTGTGAAAAGGGATTCAAGTCAAAGTCCCTGCTTCAACGCCACACCCTCGCGCACACCGACAGAGAGGCCATTCAAGTGCGAAACCCGCGGCCGTGCATCTCGTCAGAAAGCTACTCCGCGCATCCACCAGCAGCTCAAACACTCGAACGACCGGCCATTCCAGTGCGGCGAGTGCGGGAAGTCCTTCGAAGCGAAGCCTTCAGGCAGCGCACCAGCCACGTCCATTCCATCGAGAAGCCATTCGGCACGTGAACAGTGCGGAAAGGGGAGTCGAAGGGAGAGCTTATAAAAAGCTGCACGCATATAAAAAGGCACTCTGGTGTTAAATCTATGGCCGTGCATTTCATCGCAGCGATAACATGTACATGCATCAATCACAATAATATTCAAATGAAAGGCCCTTCAAGTAATGTGTGTTTGGTAATTAATTAAAAGCAAAACATAGTTTCATACTTTGCATTGCGTCAGCTAAGTCTTTTCTACCAAGAAGCCCTTCATGCATGATTTATACGGAAAGGTATTCAAGTCTGACGCCTGCAGCATTGCAGGCCAAGATAATTTTGGATCTACCCTTTTTTTTTTTTTTACAATTTACTACAATTTTTTTTTTTTTTGGTCCATTGCCTTCCCCTCATTTACCAGAATGCTACTGGGAAGTGGAAAACTTCAAATATCATAAATTAAAATGTTCCATCCTGAAGTTAAAGTCTGCAGTTTGTTTTTTAGTTTTATCGTTTCATAGTTTTATAGTTTTAGTTTTTAGTTTAGTTTTTTTTTAGCTTAGTTTGTTTTATCATACCACAGTCGAATCGAAATGACTCGAGTCCACACCGGTGAGAAATCCATACGAGCTGTCACCCTCAAACAAACCTGCTTATTATTTTGGTAATGTTATCCAATTTGACTGAACAGAAATAAATGGGAATTATTATTCATTCGTTCTAATGTGTCTTGCGTTTCTCGTGAAAATATATCCAGTGGAAAAAATCATCAAAGACAAGTTAACGATGCTGGAAATAAAATTGCTCTGCTCGATTGTCCCTTGCTCCTTTCCTGGTCCCTTGTGATGCCAAAACTTATATTATATTTCAGGAGGAATTGCTGCATTTTCTTCTTGAGTTTTATTTTATTATTATTTTTTTTAACACTCACTTTATGTTTTGGTCTGGAAAATCACGTTTTGACGCTTTGGTGGCAAGCACGAGTTTATCACAAATTGTTCAGCACGCATTGTTTTAGCCCCGAAGGCGCAAATTGAATTGAAAATTTGTAAGAATAAAAAAAATAATAAAATAATAATAATAAATATTAGCACATTTTGGCATTATCAATCTTTTTGGCTCAAATCATGACTTCTCCCGAAATTTGCAGAAATTCCGTTTCAGGCGGGAGTTTCGCGTTCGGACTCCAGCGCCCGCCCTGCATCGGCGGCATCCTCCGCCGCACAGACGCTGGCGCCATCTGTTGATGCGTCGACGAACTATCCACACTGGCGCCATCTGTTGATGCTTTCACGAACTATGCATCCAACTAAGGGGGGGGGAGGTCAGACTTCCGCTCATCGTTGCCTTCAAACGAATCGATTCTCGCGATTGTTGAGAAGTTTGCTGCGGGAAATATCGCGACATTGTGGATCACGTGAGAGTCGGCCATCCGAGGTCGCAGGGAGGTCGGACGAGTGTGAACGCTCGCCCCGTGAGCATGCCAGTTCAGCGCGGGTTTCGTCGGTTGGCCGGCAGAGGCGCGCGCGTCGTCAAGGAGGATTCCATCATGGCGGCTTTCGCGATCCATGTGAGTTTCGGGTGCGTGCAGCTGCGAGAAGAAGAAGGGCATGGTCTGCTGTGGGCTCTCGTAGGCCTATGAGTACCCTGCAGGCCGAAGCTGCAGGTCTCGTGAGTTTAGGCCAGGAAAATATGGTAGAGACCCGATCGAGGCTTCATAATGTGAAGGATCGAGTTCGGGCATAGGAGCGATAATAACATGGGAAACGTGAGTAGTCTTGATTGTTTCATCGGTCAAATAGGCCTAGCCTTTAACCTGGACCTTTAGATAGTACTATTACTTGCCTGTGCTTCAGTGGCAATTCTTTCACACTTACACAATGGTGACAGCAATATAACAGTTGCACTCATATCTTGTATGGAAATTCCTTGCTGACTCGATTTCCCTCTTGTCCATAGTTGAAGGAATTCTTTGTCTCAGATCACTGCATCTCTGCCTGTTGTGTCACTTCTCCTTGCTGGGAAAGAACTGTTGCAGCTAGCAGGTCTTTTTTTTTTTTTGGTACAAAGTGTTGCATCCTATTTCCAGATGACGGTGAGGCGCAGGTGCAGTGCCTGCATTACTGTGATTGACGGTGCTTAGTGGCAAACATGCCGAGGGGCAGCGATGATCGCAATCCACGCTTCCTTCCCTCCAAGAGGGTGAGTCTCCGTTTGATTTGATCTACCCGACAAATATGTTTTTCTGGAAAGATTGCAGCAGAAATATTGAGAGTCGAAACCTTCAGCTCCAGTAAGGGAATTCAGGGGAACCCCAATATGCAGAACTTAAGTACCGATTATCCACAAATTCTTCCTGCTGTTAGTCTTCCATCTAGGGATTTGCAACTTTTTGCATTATCTCGTCAAATCCCTTACATCTGACGATAAGGCAGCCGAGGTCATCCTCCAGATCAGCTTGACGAGCCTGAGAACAATTTCGTAGGAACTGCCCTCTCCTAGTTTGCTCTTTTGCAAAGAGAGCTTCACTTGGATATGAGCCAGGTCACTTTTGAGGAAAGTTTTTTCAAGGTTATGTACGATGTTTTACAAAGAAAGAGTGCAACATGACATGCCGAGAGGCAAGGAACATATTAATTGTGCATTGCCCGTTTCACCTGCAGATTTAGTCATGCAAGTATGATGATATGAATGTTTCATTCAAATGTGACATTTCTTCAAAGACATACAGGGTGTCCCAAAAATTCCTAGTAAACTTTATTAGAAAATTTACTAATACATTACACATACATATAGCAGTTGCTATTTGCTGTTTGTTCACGTTCAGTGTCATGACACTTGTTATGTTAGTATCATGTTCTTGTGAAACTTTTCTCCAGTTCCTAAGGTGTTTAAAATGTCCTCCTTCCGCATTGATGTGCATTTAATATTCATTAGTTTAGATCTGGAAATGCATGCACAGGTGTCTTTTGAGATATCAAGAACTGCAGGAGTGATTTCATATGTAAGGTCAGGCACATCAACACATAACGGCGGGAAAACAGAACGAGGAAATAGCTAAGAANTTTTTTTTTTTTTTACAATTTACTACAATTTTTTTTTTTTTTGGTCCATTGCCTTCCCCTCATTTACCAGAATGCTACTGGGAAGTGGAAAACTTCAAATATCATAAATTAAAATGTTCCATCCTGAAGTTAAAGTCTGCAGTTTGTTTTTTAGTTTTATCGTTTCATAGTTTTATAGTTTTAGTTTTTAGTTTAGTTTTTTTTTAGCTTAGTTTGTTTTATCATACCACAGTCGAATCGAAATGACTCGAGTCCACACCGGTGAGAAATCCATACGAGCTGTCACCCTCAAACAAACCTGCTTATTATTTTGGTAATGTTATCCAATTTGACTGAACAGAAATAAATGGGAATTATTATTCATTCGTTCTAATGTGTCTTGCGTTTCTCGTGAAAATATATCCAGTGGAAAAAATCATCAAAGACAAGTTAACGATGCTGGAAATAAAATTGCTCTGCTCGATTGTCCCTTGCTCCTTTCCTGGTCCCTTGTGATGCCAAAACTTATATTATATTTCAGGAGGAATTGCTGCATTTTCTTCTTGAGTTTTATTTTATTATTATTTTTTTTAACACTCACTTTATGTTTTGGTCTGGAAAATCACGTTTTGACGCTTTGGTGGCAAGCACGAGTTTATCACAAATTGTTCAGCACGCATTGTTTTAGCCCCGAAGGCGCAAATTGAATTGAAAATTTGTAAGAATAAAAAAAATAATAAAATAATAATAATAAATATTAGCACATTTTGGCATTATCAATCTTTTTGGCTCAAATCATGACTTCTCCCGAAATTTGCAGAAATTCCGTTTCAGGCGGGAGTTTCGCGTTCGGACTCCAGCGCCCGCCCTGCATCGGCGGCATCCTCCGCCGCACAGACGCTGGCGCCATCTGTTGATGCGTCGACGAACTATCCACACTGGCGCCATCTGTTGATGCTTTCACGAACTATGCATCCAACTAAGGGGGGGGGAGGTCAGACTTCCGCTCATCGTTGCCTTCAAACGAATCGATTCTCGCGATTGTTGAGAAGTTTGCTGCGGGAAATATCGCGACATTGTGGATCACGTGAGAGTCGGCCATCCGAGGTCGCAGGGAGGTCGGACGAGTGTGAACGCTCGCCCCGTGAGCATGCCAGTTCAGCGCGGGTTTCGTCGGTTGGCCGGCAGAGGCGCGCGCGTCGTCAAGGAGGATTCCATCATGGCGGCTTTCGCGATCCATGTGAGTTTCGGGTGCGTGCAGCTGCGAGAAGAAGAAGGGCATGGTCTGCTGTGGGCTCTCGTAGGCCTATGAGTACCCTGCAGGCCGAAGCTGCAGGTCTCGTGAGTTTAGGCCAGGAAAATATGGTAGAGACCCGATCGAGGCTTCATAATGTGAAGGATCGAGTTCGGGCATAGGAGCGATAATAACATGGGAAACGTGAGTAGTCTTGATTGTTTCATCGGTCAAATAGGCCTAGCCTTTAACCTGGACCTTTAGATAGTACTATTACTTGCCTGTGCTTCAGTGGCAATTCTTTCACACTTACACAATGGTGACAGCAATATAACAGTTGCACGCATATCTTGTATGGAAATTCCTTGCTGACTCGATTTCCCTCTTGTCCATAGTTGAAGGAATTCTTTGTCTCAGATCACTGCATCTCTGCCTGTTGTGTCACTTCTCCTTGCTGGGAAAGAACTGTTGCAGCTAGCAGGTCTTTTTTTTTTGGTACAAAGTGTTGCATCTTATTTCCAGATGAAGGTAAGGCGCACGTGCAGTGCCTGCATTACTGTGATCGATGGTGCTTAGTGGCAAACATGCCGAGGGGCAACGATGATCGCAATCCACGCTTGCTTCCCTCCAAGAGGGTGAGTCTCCGTTTGATTTGATCTACCCGACAAATATGTTTTTCTGGAAAGATTGCAGCAGAAATATTGAGAGTCAAAACCTTCAGCTCCAGTAAGGGAATTCAGGGGAACCCCAATATGCAGAACTTAAGTACCGATTATCCACAAATTCTCCCTGCTGTTAGTCTTCCATCTAGGGATTTGCAACTTTTTGGATTATCTCGTCAAATCCCTTACATCTGACGATGAGGCAGCCAAGGTCATCCTCCAGATCAGCTTGACAAGCCTGAGAACAATTTCGTAGGAACTGCCCTCTCCTAGATCGCTCTTTTGCAAAGAGAGCTTCACTTGGATATGAGTCAGGTCACTTTTGAGGAAAGTTTTTTCAAGGTTATGTACGATGTTTTACAAAGAAAGAGTGCAACATGACATGCCGAGAGGCAAGGAACATATTAATTGTGCATTGCCCGTTTCACCTGCAGATTTAGTCATGCAAGTATGATGATATGAATGTTTCATTCAAATGTGACATTTCTTCAAAGACATACAGGGTGTCCCAAAAATTCCTAGTAAACTTTATTAGAAAATTTACTAATACATTACACATACATATAGCAGTTGCTATTTGCTGTTTGTTCATGTTCAGTGTCATGACACTTGTTATGTTAGTATCATGTTCTTATGAAACTTTTCTCCAGTTCCTAAGGTGTTTAAAATGTCCTCCTTCCGCATTGATGTGCATTTAATATTCATTAGTTTAGATCTGGAAATGCATGCACAGGTGTCTTTTGAGATATCAAGAACTGCAGGAGTGATTTCATATGTAAGGTCAGGCACATCAACACATAACGGCGGGAAAACAGAACGAGGAAATAGCTAAGAAAATGACTCATTTTAAGCAATTTACTAGGTGTTCTTAGGGCAATTTTACTTGGAAAAGTGGTAGCTTCCTTTTGTCAGACTTCTTAGGGGGTCTCTCTTTCTTTCCACTCAGGGGAGGAAGCCCCTACAGGCTCAAACAGGAAGTGGCAGAAAGCAAGATCTGCAAATATTTTCAAACCTTGAAGGGGTTCTTCCATGTACTCCCACCACAACGAGCAACCTGCAAAGTGCATCAACATTCAAGATCAAAGTAATTGATCATTTTAGTGACTCTAAACCGGTTGCCAGTGGAAAACGAATTAAAAAGAAAAGTGCAGGAAAGAAATCTCGTGTTCATAACCCAGCTGAGTCTCCGTGCAGCTCTGACGTATGTGGATCTGACCACAGTAAGGACTGCCTTTCACTTGATGAACAGAAACATTCTGATGAAAGACCATTCAAGTGTCCATTGTGTGAGAAGACTTTTAGGTTCATACCAAACTTGCGGCAGCATGTGACCCACGTTCATTCCGATCGGAAGCCATTCGTATGCGAACTCTGCGGGAAAGGATTCAAGACGAGGCAGAAACTCACCCGCCACACTCTCGTGCACACCGACGAGAGGCCCTTTGAGTGCGACACCTGTGGCATGGCATTCCAGGTGAAAGGCAGTCTGGACGTCCACGTCCGATCGAGGCACTCGGAGGAAAGGCCGTTCGAGTGCGGTGTCTGCAGTAAGGCTTTCAAGCTGCAGAAGGGCCTCAAGAGCCATGAAGTCTGCCACTCCGAGGAGAAGCCGTTCAGGTGTTACTTGTGCTCGTGCTCCTTCAAGAGAAAGGACGAGCTGCAGTCTCATGTGATCTTCCATTTCGATGGAAAACCATTCATTTGTACTCTTTGTAACAAGGCATTCAAATCAAAACAAGAATTAGCTATACATCGCCACAGTCATTCTGATGAGAAGCACTTTGCATGTCACCTATGCAGTCGCAGTTACAAGTGGAGAGGGAATCTGGTGCAACACGTGGCTCGTGTCCATTCGAGTCGAGTGCCCGACGAGTCGGTGAAGTCTTCGGCTTTGGGAGGCATTGGTTCGTGCCCTGATTCGGGTTGATAGAAGATGAACTGAAAATTATTGGCATTGGTGATGATATTGCATGCATGGATCGGTGCTTGCACGTGTGAAGGACGGTAAGTGCATCCTGCTGGATGATGGAATGCACCTGCTTTCAACTGTCTTTGAGACTGCCTGGTTGCAATGTCAAACAGTAACAATGAAAGGTTGTCCACGAAATAAATTATGCATTTTTGTAGCTGCTGACTATTGTGTGTTTTAGCAAATGACATAGGAAAGAGCTGGTTTTCAGTAAGCATCTATCAGTTATGGCAGAAGTAATGCACTGAATGATTTCGTTCCTCAGTATTTCAAAGGATCAACAGGGTGATGTTCTTGGGTTCCCTGGATTGCCATGTTGGATCTTACCTGCCCTTTTCCATTGTGGCCTTGATGGAATAGGTGGGAATAGAGTGAACAGCAGCTGAATATGAGGTGTGTTCTATGGATTTTTTTCCCTATTCTGAGGGAGATTCCACAATATGCTGCTCTGCCCCTTATTTAAATCACTCGTCGTCTGTGACTCTTGTGCCGGGAACTCAGGCCAATGGTGTAATGCATTCATTTTTCATAACTTTTGCTTAGAAAAAAAAAATGGGTTGGGTTTTTCTTGATCTATGCAATATACCACAATCCTGAGCATCATGGGTCAAAAGTTCATTGTAAAAAGAAAAAGAGAATTTCAATTTTTCTTTAGTTGACAACTAAACTTTGAGCAAGCGGTTGATAAACTTATCGTTTGCCATTTTATAGCATGTGGCCAGGTACAGGAATGTTTTTCCGAGAAAATGATGGATCATTTCAAGTAATTCTGAGACTTATTCAAATACTTGGAGAAACAGCATTTTCTCATCTCCCCCAATAGGAAGAATTTAAAGCTGGTAGCAACGGGTGTTATTTGTGTTCGGCAGACTGTTGCGAGAAGATATAAAAAATTCTGAGGTATTTGGGAGATGGCANGCTCTTTTGCAAAGAGAGCTTCACTTGGATATGAGCCAGGTCACTTTTGAGGAAAGTTTTTTCAAGGTTATGTACGATGTTTTACAAAGAAAGAGTGCAACATGACATGCCGAGAGGCAAGGAACATATTAATTGTGCATTGCCCGTTTCACCTGCAGATTTAGTCATGCAAGTATGATGATATGAATGTTTCATTCAAATGTGACATTTCTTCAAAGACATACAGGGTGTCCCAAAAATTCCTAGTAAACTTTATTAGAAAATTTACTAATACATTACACATACATATAGCAGTTGCTATTTGCTGTTTGTTCACGTTCAGTGTCATGACACTTGTTATGTTAGTATCATGTTCTTGTGAAACTTTTCTCCAGTTCCTAAGGTGTTTAAAATGTCCTCCTTCCACATTGATGTGCATTTAATATTCATTAGTTTAGATCTGGAAATGCATGCACAGGTGTCTTTTGAGATATCAAGAACTGCAGGAGTGATTTCATATGTAAGGTCAGGCACATCAACACATACCGGCGGGAAAACAGAACGAGGAAATAGCTAAGAAAATGACTCATTTTAAGCAATTTACTAGGTGTTCTTAGGGCAATTTTACTTGGAAAAGTGGTAGCTTCCTTTTGTCAGACTTCTTAGGGGGGTCTCTCTTTCTTTCCACTCAGGGGAGGAAGCCCCTACAGGCTCAAACAGGAAGTGGCAGAAAGCAAGATCTGCAAATATTTTCAAACCTTGAAGGGGTTCCTCCATGTACTCCCACCACAACGAGCAACCTGCAAAGTGCATCAGCATTCAAGATCAAAGTAATTGATCATTTTAGTGACTCTAAACCTGTTGCCAGTGGAAAACGAATTAAAAAGAAAAGTGCAGGAAAGAAATCTCGTGTTCATAACCCAGCTGAGTCTCCGTGCAGCTCTGACGTATGTGGATCTGACCGCAGTAAGGACTGCCTTTCACTTGTGTTGCCAGTGGAAAACGAATTAAAAAGAAAAGTGCAGGAAAGAAATCTCGTGTTCATAACCCAGCTGAGTCTCCGTGCAGCTCTGACGTATGTGGATCTGACCACAGTAAGGACTGCCTTTCACTTGATGAACAGAAACATTCTGATGAAAGACCATTCAAGTGTCCATTGTGTGAGAAGACTTTTAGGTTCATACCAAACTTGCGGCAGCATGTGACCCACGTTCATTCCGATCGGAAGCCATTCGTATGCGAACTCTGCGGGAAAGGATTCAAGACGAGGCAGAAACTCACCCGCCACACTCTCGTGCACACCGACGAGAGGCCCTTTGAGTGCGACACCTGTGGCATGGCATTCCAGGTGAAAGGCAGTCTGGACGTCCACGTCCGATCGAGGCACTCGGAGGAAAGGCCGTTCGAGTGCGGTGTCTGCAGTAAGGCTTTCAAGCTGCAGAAGGGCCTCAAGAGCCATGAAGTCTGCCACTCCGAGGAGAAGCCGTTCAGGTGTTACTTGTGCTCGTGCTCCTTCAAGAGAAAGGACGAGCTGCAGTCTCATGTGATCTTCCATTTCGATGGAAAACCATTCATTTGTACTCTTTGTAACAAGGCATTCAAATCAAAACAAGAATTAGCGATACATCGCCACAGTCATTCTGATGAGAAGCACTTTGCATGTCACATATGCAGTCGCAGTTACAAGTGGAGAGGGAATCTGGTGCAACACATGGCTCGTGTCCATTCGAGTCGAGTGCCCGACGAGTCGGTGAAGTCTTCGGCTTTGGGAGGCATTGGTTCGTGCCCTGATTCGGGTTGATAGAAGATGAACTGAAAATGATTGGCATTGGTGATGATATTGCATGCATGGATCGGTGCTTGCACGTGTGAAGCACGGTAAGTGCATCCTGTTGGATGATGGAATGCACCTGCTCTCAACTGTCTTTGAGACTGCCTGGTTGCAATGTCAACAGTAACAATGAAAGGTTGTCCACGAAATAAATTATGCATTTTTGTAGCTGCTGACTATTGTGTGTTTTAGCAAATGACATAGGAAAGAGCTGGTTTTCAGTAAGCATCTATCAGTTATGGCAGAAGTAATGCACTGAATGATTTCGTTCCTCAGTATTTCAAAGGATCAACAGGGTGATGTTCTTGGGTTCCCTGGATTGCCATGTTGGATCTTACCTGCCCTTTTCCATTGTGGCCTTGATGGAATAGGTGGGAATAGAGTGAACAGCAGCTGAATATGAGGTGTGTTCTATGGATTTTTTTCCCTATTCTGAGGGAGATTCCACAATATGCTGCTCTGCCCCTTATTTAAATCACTCGTCGTCTGTGACTCTTGTGCCGGGAACTCAGGCCAATGGTGTAATGCATTCATTTTTCATAACTTTTGCTTAGAAAAAAAAAATGGGTTGGGTTTTTCTTGATCTATGCAATATACCACAATCCTGAGCATCATGGGTCAAAAGTTCATTGTAAAAAGAAAAAGAGAATTTCAATTTTTCTTTAGTTGACAACTAAACTTTGAGCAAGCGGTTGATAAACTTATCGTTTGCCATTTTATAGCATGTGGCCAGGTACAGGAATGTTTTTCCGAGAAAATGATGGATCATTTCAAGTAATTCTGNGGGGGTCTCTCTTTCTTTCCACTCAGGGGAGGAAGCCCCTACAGGCTCAAACAGGAAGTGGCAGAAAGCAAGATCTGCAAATATTTTCAAACCTTGAAGGGGTTCTTCCATGTACTCCCACCACAACGAGCAACCTGCAAAGTGCATCAACATTCAAGATCAAAGTAATTGATCATTTTAGTGACTCTAAACCGGTTGCCAGTGGAAAACGAATTAAAAAGAAAAGTGCAGGAAAGAAATCTCGTGTTCATAACCCAGCTGAGTCTCCGTGCAGCTCTGACGTATGTGGATCTGACCACAGTAAGGACTGCCTTTCACTTGATGAACAGAAACATTCTGATGAAAGACCATTCAAGTGTCCATTGTGTGAGAAGACTTTTAGGTTCATACCAAACTTGCGGCAGCATGTGACCCACGTTCATTCCGATCGGAAGCCATTCGTATGCGAACTCTGCGGGAAAGGATTCAAGACGAGGCAGAAACTCACCCGCCACACTCTCGTGCACACCGACGAGAGGCCCTTTGAGTGCGACACCTGTGGCATGGCATTCCAGGTGAAAGGCAGTCTGGACGTCCACGTCCGATCGAGGCACTCGGAGGAAAGGCCGTTCGAGTGCGGTGTCTGCAGTAAGGCTTTCAAGCTGCAGAAGGGCCTCAAGAGCCATGAAGTCTGCCACTCCGAGGAGAAGCCGTTCAGGTGTTACTTGTGCTCGTGCTCCTTCAAGAGAAAGGACGAGCTGCAGTCTCATGTGATCTTCCATTTCGATGGAAAACCATTCATTTGTACTCTTTGTAACAAGGCATTCAAATCAAAACAAGAATTAGCTATACATCGCCACAGTCATTCTGATGAGAAGCACTTTGCATGTCACCTATGCAGTCGCAGTTACAAGTGGAGAGGGAATCTGGTGCAACACGTGGCTCGTGTCCATTCGAGTCGAGTGCCCGACGAGTCGGTGAAGTCTTCGGCTTTGGGAGGCATTGGTTCGTGCCCTGATTCGGGTTGATAGAAGATGAACTGAAAATTATTGGCATTGGTGATGATATTGCATGCATGGATCGGTGCTTGCACGTGTGAAGGACGGTAAGTGCATCCTGCTGGATGATGGAATGCACCTGCTTTCAACTGTCTTTGAGACTGCCTGGTTGCAATGTCAAACAGTAACAATGAAAGGTTGTCCACGAAATAAATTATGCATTTTTGTAGCTGCTGACTATTGTGTGTTTTAGCAAATGACATAGGAAAGAGCTGGTTTTCAGTAAGCATCTATCAGTTATGGCAGAAGTAATGCACTGAATGATTTCGTTCCTCAGTATTTCAAAGGATCAACAGGGTGATGTTCTTGGGTTCCCTGGATTGCCATGTTGGATCTTACCTGCCCTTTTCCATTGTGGCCTTGATGGAATAGGTGGGAATAGAGTGAACAGCAGCTGAATATGAGGTGTGTTCTATGGATTTTTTTCCCTATTCTGAGGGAGATTCCACAATATGCTGCTCTGCCCCTTATTTAAATCACTCGTCGTCTGTGACTCTTGTGCCGGGAACTCAGGCCAATGGTGTAATGCATTCATTTTTCATAACTTTTGCTTAGAAAAAAAAAATGGGTTGGGTTTTTCTTGATCTATGCAATATACCACAATCCTGAGCATCATGGGTCAAAAGTTCATTGTAAAAAGAAAAAGAGAATTTCAATTTTTCTTTAGTTGACAACTAAACTTTGAGCAAGCGGTTGATAAACTTATCGTTTGCCATTTTATAGCATGTGGCCAGGTACAGGAATGTTTTTCCGAGAAAATGATGGATCATTTCAAGTAATTCTGAGACTTATTCAAATACTTGGAGAAACAGCATTTTCTCATCTCCCCCAATAGGAAGAATTTAAAGCTGGTAGCAACGGGTGTTATTTGTGTTCGGCAGACTGTTGCGAGAAGATATAAAAAATTCTGAGGTATTTGGGAGATGGCAAAAGGCCTTGCCTCTCAAAATTTAAAGCAAATTTTGGAGACAGTTTGGCGTAAGTTTGTTGACATTTCTGCCAGTGCCATTGGGTGACCAAATTTTTTTCCCCGGAAAAATGTTGATATTTTCAAGAAAATGCCGAAAGGTTAGTCCCTGCAATGGAAAAAAAAGAGACACCCAGGATGGAAACGGAATATTCAGATTTTCTGGGTCGCAATTATTGGGGGGGGGAAGAAATTTTAAGTTTTAAAAGTATATGAAGATTCCTTATCACAGCTGATGCATATCTGAACCGGCTCGGCCGTCGCACGTGTCCAGATGACGTCATCTTTGACCTGCTGCTCGAGCGAGTGAGAGGAGCCAGTGCCCGGAGGAGAGGGTAGCGGGAGAGGGATGCGCCCTCCAATCGCGATCCGTCGTGCGGTGACGTCACAGCGCCCCCAATCGTAGACCGTTGCGTGATGACGTCACGGCCGAGCATCCCCGCCTCTTCCAAAACTCTCGCACGGTGGGTGTTCGGACAGTTCGATGTCGGGTGCAGATAGGCATCGTTCAGTTTCAGTCGTGGTGGGGAACGGGAGGGGGGGGGGTCAGCGTGCCCGGAAGAGGGCTTAGGCCTGGCTCAGTTGCTCGGTAAGCCGGTGTCTCCACGCCATACTGGTTTCGTCTTACGTAAGATTTTAATCTTAGGCCTAGGAAACCTTGAAAGGCGAAGGGTTCCAAAGTCCTGTGGTAATGGCGTAAGGCGCTTGGTACGAAGAGGGAGGAATTTCTCTCCTTGCCCACGAGTCGCTAGAAGATTTTCAGTTTCCACGCCGGACGGATTTTTTTTTTTTAAATTACTTCTGCTTGGAGATCACGCCTTCTTGAAGTCACGGGATTGTGAACTTCGGAGAATGTCGAGGCCATGCTGAAGATCGCTTTCTGTTCTGGAGAAGTCAGTTTCATCATAGCATTTTTCTATAATGTGTGATTTATGTAATGTCAGAACCCTAAAGCTTACCAGGCTTGCTGACTTACCCACACTTATGAAACCATGGCATCTAAAGCAGGAAAATTTCAGATATGTAGAACAAAGACAAAATTTGCAGAACAGTATATCACAAGGACTATGAATATTTAATATATTGCCTGAGGATATAATTGTGGCCAAATCAATCTTTAAAGCCGAATGAATAAATTATTTTTAAGAATGAGTCTACTACAGAAAACAGCTCATTCCCTGATTATGCTGACCAGATTCCCAAGAGGAAAATATGCAACAATCAATCATAATATTTTGTTGCATCCCAACCCGGCTGTCCAGGACGAACCCAATAGGGGTCAATGATTGGCCTTATTGCCAGTATTTGCATTCAATTTCTATTTATTTGTATTCCTTTTTCCTTACCCTTTCTTTCTCTTTTTATTTATTCATTTATATATTGTCTTTCGTTTTTTTTATCATTGTCTTTGCCTTCATGTTTCTTCCTTACCTGCAAATATGTGGAAACCATATTTTATTCTATCCATGTTTGGTCTGTGTTAGGCAATACCTGTGGTAGTTCTATCAGGAGGAACATTGTGTCAAAGATAACCTAAAAATTAGGCTATCTTTGTGTTAGTTATCACATATCTGTCAAGAAGCCTTGTTTTTTAATGTAAGCATTGAGATCAAGTTGCAGGACATGCAGGAAAGCCCTCAGGGGTCCTGACCTATGCCACACAAGCAAGCACATGGAAAATGTCTTCTCTGTAGGGAACTCTGACGGTGATGCGGTGCGGAGAAGTCCGTATCACAGTCCGAGTTACCTAACGGAAGGAGACTGCTTGAGCGTCGCTTGGCGAGAGGCTCATGGGCCTAGGTCAGGCCTGGTGGTTTCGATCGTCTGTAGGATGTTGCGGTCTGTTTCAGAAATTTGTGTCTTGCTTCCTTGAAAGTTGACACTTCTGCCTGGTCATTCTTATGCTGCACTTGTGCATTAAGTAGAATTTTTATCCTAATTCTAATGACGTTCTCTTTGCCTCGTACATGAGCCCTTTCACTCCTGGCAATCTTCCAATGGTACTGCTTTGATTCCTGCAGTCTTTAGATGGTTCCCATTTTGATTCTCAATACCTCTGTATTTTTCTTCTGTCAGGTTTGTGCCTCCGTCCTGATCAACTGCATGAGAGCACCAAGTCACATGAAAAGGAGCTGTTTCTGCGACTCTGTAATGTGAGAATCTTGAGAAAGCAAATAACTGGACAGCTTCATGCACAAAAATGAGTATTTGGCTTCAGGTGAAACTTTAACAGCGTTTTTGTTGCATCTTTGCTCTTTTTTATTTTTCTTATCAGATTAAAATATTATTCCTTATTTACTTAGTCTGGCCCAGCTTCAAGAACTGAACTAGATGTTATTTTAAACATTTTTCATTTTTAATATATACAACCAGCTAATTACCACCATAAATGGCCATATGTTTTGATGACAGGTTCTGATGGAGGAAGTAGATGGTTCCTGCCCCATATTCAATATGATGTTGCTTCTTCATTTTAATTGAGTGCAATTTATTGCATCTCTTATTTAACAGAACCAGCACTACTTAGGCCCTTCAGCTCAACGTGTCATGCTTTACTGCTTCATGGTAGTTTTCCTTTTATCTCATAAGCCTGTGATTGATCCCCATCTGCTTTTTTTAAAATTTATTCTCTTCACTTATTCAATGAGTCTTTTGATGGGGTTATTTGTATGGGCATGAAGATGATGAACCCTTGTGCATTGCTTGTGAAATTTCCCCTTTTTCAGTCTGTTGATCTCATCTATAGTTCTTTCACTTGAGTATAAGATCCATTTTGCATTAATCATGTAAAATCGCAGTTCAGACAGCATAAATAAAGCTTTTATGAAGTCATCTTCAGAAACAGCTCTTCTAGCCTGGAAAAGACTGTTTGAGGGAGCGCTCAATGTTGCTTGGATTTGTAACAATGTACAGGATGATTTTTTATATATGGGGACCGTTATATATATATATAATCTTGGAATAAATTGAGTTAGATGCCTGAAATTTTGCATGGAGAATCCATAAGCATGGGAAAGGTATTCTCTGAAAAAATGTGTTCAATGTGTCCTCAGCGTGCTATTACATGTAGGGGTGGTGTAATTCTGCACAACTGCATCCATGGAAATTCTTCACATTCTGTGGCCAACTTCAGGTCTCTAGACATGCATGGATTTAACATTGACTCAAAACTTTGACCTTTAGGTATCCCTGGAGAAAACAGTCACATGAATTTTGGTCATGGCCTGCCGACATGGCGAAAGTCGTGTTAGACTTCCTGCATGAGAACTTGGGTACCAGTTTGCTGTCTAGCAGATTTCCTGATGTCCACAGCAGTGGATTAGTATGGCCACCATTTTCTCTCCAATCTCAATCCTTCCTCTATTTCCTCTTGGGATACCAAAAGGATGGAGTCTTCAAGTCAAGGCTCCATGCACGTTTGGAGATGAAAAGAATGTGAAGTCTGCTCCATTTCCTGGGATGCATTGCAGGCAATTGTGTAGAATGTCACCATACCCCTACAACTGTTGATTGTTTGCAAAGGAGGACATGTTGAACATGTTTTTTCATGGAGTATAACTTTACCCTGTTTTTATACATTCATGGTGCAAAATTTCATGCATCCAACTCAATTTGTTCCAAGATGGTGAATATTTATAATTGTCCCAAAAAAAAAATCACCCTGTATGTGATAGTGTCCAAACTTAGATGGTTTTGCCCTATCTTGAACCTTTTCTCTTCCAGTTGCAGTACCAGAATCTCCACATATTCAGCCTCTCACCCTGTCATTTTGAAGTGATGCTTCCTTTCCCATTTTGATTTTTTCTGTTTCTCTGCATGAAATGCAGCATTTCTTTTCGCATAGGTCTTTGGATTCGTTAGTCACTTGCTGCACAATCAGCTTTGGATGAAGGTCCTCTTTTTTTTTTTCCAGCTGAAGGTGAGAGGAAACTTCTTCCCTGCTGAGTTCAAGGGTGGATTTATTCAGATATTGAAGATATGTCTTGCATAGGTGCTTCATGACAGTTGGCATCACTGGATCAATCCTGCACAACCCCTCGTGCAACTTCCGTATTCACAATGGGGATAATCGGGAGGTAGCTGCATTGCCAAGAAGCTATCTGGATGGAGCATGTTTTTTCTTTTTTAGAAAGAATACAGTGCAATTCTTATTTTCTCACAAAAAAATTGGGAACATTCATTTTGGTCTTGAAGGAAGGATGAATCATAAAGTCCTGTATATGTTATGTTTCAATAGTTACATGATATGAGGGCCACTCAATAAGTTATCTACCTGAATTTGAAAGGGATGAGCAACAGGCCTGTGCCTGCTGTGACATGTTTCGACAGGTCATCACTGGGATTCCGAAACCAAGCAGGAGTCCATGCAGTGGAAGCACGAGGGATTGCCAACGCCTCGCAAACTTTGTGTTCAGAAATCTGCAGGAAAGATTATGGCCACTGTGTATCAGCATTCAAGATCAAAGTAATTGATCATTTTAGTGACTCTAAACCTGTTGCCAGTGGAAAACGAATTAAAAAGAAAAGTGCAGGGAAAAAGATTTTCATGCAATGAAGAGCTGAAAGTTGCCGTTTGGAATCAAAGTGGAATAAGTGTGTTGAGTGAAAAGGTGACTAAATTGAAAAATATAGTGTTATTTTTCCCCTCGGATTTTTCTTTCTTATTCAGGTAGATAACTTATTGAGTGACCCTCGTATTTGAGGAATTTTCTTGAAAAGTTTCATTGCCATTCAAATTTAATTATGGACAAGGATGGCTGACTGTATGAAATTCTGAAGTACACTCCCCTGTGGAAGCTCAAATGAAGTATAAGTTGTCCAGAAGGAATAACCCTTCCGGAACCTTGGGGCGTACAATCTTGACGTCTGCATTTGGAGAAGTCTATTTGAAAATCCAGAGGTGCTTCACTTCCCATTGCATGTTTGAGTGTATGGAGATTGCTATTTTACTCCATGAAATTGTGCTGATCTTGAACCAGTTGCTATCCTTTGTATACACACGGTGTGACGTTTTGAGCAAGAATCACATTTTTGGTAGGACAAGACCCAGTAATTTTTATTTTTTTTACATACTGCTTACCCACAATACCTGTGTTCGTGGTTTTTCTTGCTTTTAAGACATTGACTCTTGCCATTGTTTCTATTTTCTAAAGAAAATCTTTGGACATGTTAAATTTATTTGCAATTCTTAGGATCAGACATGATTCCCAAAAGGGTGCAATTGAATCTTGTCAAAGAAGCTTTCAGGTATTGTAATTGTTATGACAGGGTCACATTTTCATTTGGGAGACTATTCTTTTCATTACTTTGTGTTATTTTCTGCATGGCATGAATCTGCCCAGATCATCTGTAGTCATGGGCTTCTAGAGGGCAAATGAAGTGATAGTAAGAAAATTGTTGCATTCAGAACCTTGGGAATAGTTAAACATTGTGATAAGTTGCATGGAAGGAATAGGCTGGAGAACATGAATTGTTTCTGTAGATAATCTCAGAAATGCTTTTACTGGAGCCTTCACATATTTTGAATAGGGTCTTAGCATATTAGTGGTTTTATGAAGCAGTTCTTTGTTGGTAAACCAAATAGGATTTGGAAGAGCTCTGGTCTTTGCAGCTATTATTGCATTGTGTTACTTGTGCAAGGCTGGCACATCAGCCACTGCATTTCAACCCCTTCGGTTGCATCTGCCTGCTCTGTTGGAGCCTTGAAGTCCCGTTTTGCAAGAAAAATGGAGAAATCTTGCCCCTCTTTACTTAGCATCTATATACCCCACAAAAAATTATCTCTGTGCCATTTGATAGGCGCTTTTCCCATAGCCAGATATGCCTTCATCCTACCACTGGGGTAACAACCCACGGGGAAAAAAAGGCAAAATATTTTCGCCTTTGCCACTGGTGAAGATTAGTTAGACACTGTGTCCATTCTGAATCCTTGCACCAGGAATCTCCTGTTATAATGAGGTTTTGGTGTTCCCAATCTGAGTGGACATTATGTTTTGCAGGCATTCAGCCAGGAAATGCCAAGGATATCAGTATGACCAGTTTTCTGCCGCTTTTATTTGCGTTTGTATTTGACTGGAGTAGAGTCTGCTATGTTCAATTTTTCACATCATTGGTTTGTACATACCTCAAGTGTCCAGTGCAGCTAAGATATCCAGTTGGAGATGCCTGCATGTTCTCACATTAGAGGATATTCGTTGTCCGTGTTGTCTACTCCATTTGTGAGGATGATTGCAGGCAGTGCCCCACAAAATGTTGTACTTCTGTGTTCTCTGTAGGCATCTGACCCTTTCCATCAGATAGCTGGGATCCCCTTGACACCTGTCACGAATGTGGACATAGGCGCTGTTGTGCAAGAGTACAGACTCCGCACGTGATCCTTTGTCGCCTCGTATGATTCGTGTCACATGTATGCATCATCGTTGGGCAGGCTCTTTGCATTGTGGTGTGGTACTTGAAGAAGACCACTGTGGAATCATGGGACACCTGCACCAGATCCCTTTATATTAAATATTTCCACAAAAGTCCATTTTTATTACAACTGTGGCACCTAGCATAGAAGCCAGTTATTCATATGAGGGGCTCCTAGAGGCAGACTGGCTATTTGTCCTAATAAAGAATAAATAATAGCTAATTGAGCAAAAATAAATTTTGGTTCCTGCCAGCTTGACTTGTTCCATTCGTGACCTCATGACCGAAGTTCATTCTTGCTTTTTGCCATAATTTTCCCCCTTCACCTTTGACTCAAGCGTCAACACCAGCGGCATGGTGATTTCCACCCTGAAATCGCCATTTAATCCACGACCTTTCTGTTTAGGAGTGTTCAAAGAACGGGATGCATACCTCCCCAGTGAGAAGTGTATCACTGCTACTGTCAGACCATTACCTGCCAATTGCAGGTAAAGGTAATGGTAATTACCTTTCCCGGCAAGCGAGTCCAGCCCACTGGAACCCGCCTGGTAATGACCACTCGAGGTTGTCATTTCAAGGTGGGCATTGGTTAACGCGTGAATTGCGCAAGAGTACCCACTTGCGGTGTGCATTTCTGAGTGGCTTCGCGTGCAATTAGCAAATGATTCACGTGTGAGATTCGAGAACACAGTTTCCAGATTTCGGAATTGGTCACCATCCTGTTGCAAGCACCCCTGGCACCGGTGCAACATTGTTATTGCATTACTCCATGTTAATCGCTTGTGGCTACTCGTACGGAACTCACCCTGTATCAGTTTTAGTCATGCATTACTGCCGAATTACACTATTTTATTTTATTTTATTAACTTTTTTTTTTGGGGGGGGAAGGGGGGGAAGGGTGGAAAATTCCATGGCAAAGGCTGCATTTCACCAAGAGCATTATGTGAATCATTGTTCGCATCTGTACGTTACCTTTTTGGAATGGCAAATGAAGGCTTGTAGCAGAATTTTTATTTCCTTGATGAATTAATATTAATTGAAGAAATGGAACACAATGAAGACGTCACCCTGGCCTCATACAAAATATCGTCCCCGCGCGCCCTGACTTAAATCTCGGGTTGAACCTGCGGACCAGTGCACGCGAACTCGAACGGAGGGAAAGATATAAACATTTGAAGAAGGAATGGGAAGTCCACGTGCAACACGCCAACTGCTCATGACCCCGTTTCCTTCCCTGCCCCTTCCCGTTCCCTCTGTAGGCGATTGGCAATGAAATTTTCATCATGCCGGTTCCAGCGCCTTATTGGGAACCAGATCGCAAGATAAATTATTTAATTGATCTGCACTTGCGTAATACATACTTTATATATGTACGAATGCATTCTCGTGTATCTTTTTGTTCCGGAAAGAAAACTCCCATTCACCTCCTCATTCTCCACCTCAGTCCCACCTCATTAAGTCAGAAAAAAAAACAAAAAAGAGACCAAGGCCATCCGCGTTGACGTCATCGACCGGGACAAAAAGCGGGAGCCCCCATCCACAATCCAGTCGAGGCAGATAAGAGAGGAGGGGGAAAACAAGACTCCCCGGACCTGCATCCAGTTGCCCGTCGGAGGACCAGCCGGGAGTGCGAAGTGAGAACGATCTCAGTCCAGTCCTCATTGTGATCCTGGTCCAGTCTTCCCTCCGACCATCCCGGTCCAGCCCTCCTCATTGAGATCCTGGTCCAGTCTTCCCTCCGACCATCCCGGTCCAGCCCTCCTCATTGCGATCCTGGTCCAGTCTTCCCTCCGACCATCCCGGTCCAGCCCTCCTCATTGCGATCCCGTTCCATTCGACCTTCCCATTCCCCGCTTCTCGCCCGTGCTGTCCCCCTCTCCACACTTCCTCCGTTTGCACCATGAATGGCTGTTGCGACGCGGGCCTGCCCCAATCCACGTGAGTTCCCCTCTCCCCTAATTACTCCCGCCCTAACCCTTACAATAGACAGAAACCCCCTCACGTCTTCCTTCTCTGGAGCACCCGGATGTTTATGAAGGACGTACAGCGCCCTTCGGGCCCCATATGCCAAGCATGCCCCTATTGGGACCCGCCGACAAATCCGGTTTTATCTCTTCGCGAATATCGCGGTCCCGAGAGACACTTGAGCGGAAGCCCGCAATCTCTGGCCCAGGGAGCCCCCAAATAATCGCTGGTGGCGGCTGGATAATCTTTAGCTAATTAGGAAATTCCTGAGTGATCTCGTCAAGGTTGTATTTATTTCCATCTGATTAAATGCCAGTAATAAAAATAAATAATAAAAAATCATGCACGCATTCGAATTCTCCTCAAGGGTTGGAAGAATTTTTTTATTTTGAGTTCGTGGTGCCCTCTTTTCTTTTTTTCTGCGGCTTTTCTGTGGAACCAACGGAAGTATTCAAATATAATTAAGTGTAAAATAAGTGAATGTCAGAACTTGAATAAAATTATGAATTAGACTAAATTTTAAACTAAGAAGTGAAAATTATATGCATGAATATGAAATGTATATATGTCACGAATACAATAAATGGATAAAATGAAATATATAAATAAAAGCTATGTAAATTTATATTATATTTTTTTTGTGTAAATTACGATCTAAATTTTTTTTATTGCGGTGGATCAGGCACCCCCCCCCCCCTCCCCCCATAGAACGAAGTTTCAGTTCGGGAATTTCCTTACGTCTCGTTCCGCACCGTCCACGAGGAATCACTTTCGTATCACGCGATCGTCGTCAGTATCGGGGGGGGGGGGGAAAAAAAAACATGCGCGAGGGTTTGGAAGCCTGCCAGAGGAGGGGAGCGGCGTTGCCCGTGTGTCGATTTGCATCCACACCGGCTTCTGTTGCAACTGCAACTTGAGAGGGGGGGGGGGGGGGGGGGGGGGGGAGGGGATTTGAGCCGGTTTACCCTTGTTTAGTACCTGTTTTATATGTTCCATTCGATCAGTTACAGTTGATATGGTAATTAAGGCTATGGCGTAATGTTATGGTAATTAATCGGCCTAATAGCGACCGATTAATTACCATGGAAGAATACATGGGAAAAAAAACACGCCGGCTTCGAGCAGATTTTTATATTTACCATGATATCCTCGAGCGTATCGGCGTTTGGCAGCGGAGTTAGTCGCCCACGAATCGCTGACGGAGGCAACGACACGCGGAGAGGAAAGGGAATTACTAAAACATGGCTCGCTGATTACCCCCCTCAGCCTCCCCCCCCCCCAATACACTCGTGACCTTGAGTCGTTGCCATCCTGCCTTCAGGGTGTACCGCGAATGTCAAGGAGCCAGNCCCCCCCCCCCCCCCCCCCCCCCCCCCCCCCCCCCGCCGATAGGGACGCGGGAACGACGTCATTACCCCAGATGCATGATGTCTCGGGAGAAGTGCGCGTTGGCGCGCCGAGAGAGGACCGTGAAGCATGCACTCAATGGGAAGGACTCTGAAGCGACCATACACCGAATTCGGAGGACCATCGAGCGCGCATAACTCGATGAGGAGGACCATCGAGCGTGCATAACTCGATGGGGAGGACCATCGAGCGCGCATAACTCGATGAGGAGGACCCATCCTCCCCCCATCTACCTCCACGCGCGTCGTCATTGCCTGCACGCGGGCGAAAGTGGAAACTGGCTCCTTGACATTCGCGGTACACCCTGAAGGCAGGATGGCAACGACTCAAGGTCACGAGTGTATTGGGGGGGGGGGAGGCATGCCCTGGGGATTCCACTCGTTTTTCAGGCGCCTGTAGCGAACAGGTATCGCTGAGCCGAAAAGTCGACTGTTTTTTTTTGGTTGTTGCGGAAGACCCTGAGGGAGGCCTCTGGAGGTCGTGGCTAGGGGCGGAAAAAATGTTCCAAGAAGCAAAAAAATATGTGGAGCCTCTCCGCTCCCACATGATCCATTCTCTTTTCTTAAAATAAATAAAATAAATAATAAAATAATTTTGAGGATAAATCTGAATAATTCTATGCATGTTTGCTACTGCAAAGGCGTTATCGGGAGCGGTGTGACGAGAAGAGCGGCATTCCTCAAACACCTGCACGTGACTCACACAAGCAGCAACGTCTCAAAAGCAGTCGAAACGATTGCATGTAATTAAAGTAATTAAAGTAGTAGTAATTAATTGTAGTAATTAAAGCATTAAAAGCATTTCTTACGTATATGTATGTCAGCAGTTGGGTGTCCGAAACATAGTGCGAGAATTTCAATCTGTAGAGAAATTCCTTCTGCAGCGCCATGAGTTGGATTTGCTTAGTGGAGTTAATCTTGAAGTGTAGTATAGATGTCGCTAGTGTACGCCAGCGGCTCAGTAGTTTAGACACTGGCGTCATCTCCCCATTCTCGGATGAACTGCATCCAATTTTTATGGCGCATGTCTGCGCTCCTCGTGGGGCCCATGTTGGTGATTAGATGCGTCTCGATGTGCCTGAAAGTTTCATTCTCGTGCAGAGAGAAGGCCATCGCGTGTGGGAGTAGCTGTGCTCTGTGGATGTGCCGAAATGCATTGGTGGACCGGTGAAAACGTTAGGCCTAGCTGGAAGGCATTAGGCCTAGCTGTAAGGCATTAGGCCTAGCTGTTAGGCTTTAGGCCTAGCTGTTAGGCTTTAGGCCTAGCTGTAAGGCATTAGGCCTATGACCATCATAGTACTCCAGGGACTGTCAGAAGTGCAGGGGCATGGGTGCATCAGTTACACTTGGTGGTAGGATCCCATAATTCTAATCTTGAGCCAAAAAAATAATAATCCTATAATTTATTATGGTGTTTCACAGAAGTAAAGGTCCTGTTGGTTGGGTGGTTCAATTTTGAGTGGACTTAGTAAATATTTCCAGGATACTATTGGCCTTTACAAGAAAAAAAAGAGCTGCATCGATGCAGACCTGCTCTTGCAGGTATGCAACCAAGTGCAAAGGCCCAGGAGTCTTGGGTCCTACTCGCGTTAGACCCCGAGCGATCCCCGAGACCCGTATGGGTCGCACGGATCGCTTTGCATGAGCGAAATTGCAGGCGATCCGGCTCGGCATGGGCGTGTCTTTCCCCGAGGGTCCCCGCCAGTGAGTAGTTTGCCATGAATTTGGCAGTACTTCTTCGGTGCTTCTTTGAGCCTTTCGTAGAATAGCCTTTTCCACATGATTTTTGTTCTTTAACCGGAGCCAGATGGAATGTCTCGGCCGAGTCGAGGACCGTGACGTCTGTCTGGGTAAAGCCAGTTAGTGCATGAGTAACTTCTGTGAAAACCATTTTGTTTGTCTGAAGTCTAGCCAATGGGTATCAAGTAGAGATCAAGTGACATATCGTTTGCCTATTTAAATAGGCCTATATGGGCATATTGGGACTTTTAAACCTTCTGATTTTTGCTGACATCAGAAGTAGAGTTCTGTTCAATCTTTACAGGAAAAGAAAATATGACTAAGCCTATCTTTTCTGCACCCATATGGAAACCCCGAGACCCGGCCAATATTGTGTCGGCCATCGGCCCGGGCCAATATCGTACACCAGCCGACATCTGAATCTGTGAAATCCAACATCGGTCGATCTCTAGTATCGAGGTGGTCTCATCTGGCAGAATTTGCACAGAATTTGCAGATTGGTATAATAATGGATGGCTTCCAGTCACATGGCAACTACTCAGCATTTAAAGACCTTTCAATTAAGGGAGTCAGTAACACAAGTACAGGATTGCATAAAAATCTGCAATTGTCTGACCAAGTGTAGCACACTGGTCACAGAGAACTACATTTTTTTGTTTATTAATATGCATGATATACGTGCTCTTCTGTATGTTTTTATGCTGCAAGATTGTGTCATTCTGTGCTTCAACATATAATGTGGTTATTTATTGTGAAGTATTTGGGAACTGGGATATTTTCCCATAGAAACTACTTTTTGGTCCCCAATGTTAGTCGATGGTGAGGTCTTTTTACCCAATGCCTCCCAGTTTTGGAGTCAACGAATATGTCAATGAATACAATGAATACATGAGAGTCGAATGCGGCACAGAGTGAAGCTTCCATGGACCCAGCGCCCGTTGCCGGAATGCAAGAAACGCATGCGAATGGGAGGAGAAGTGCAGAGATGAAACATTAATTTTCTCAGGGGAAGGTGATTTGCAAACGAAAATATTGTGCACAAATGTGTACCCCTGGTGTACAGTACTAACAAATTTTTACATAAAAAATCAAAATCGATGCAATCACTTTGCCTGCTGATGCTTATATTGCTCCTGGCATTCAGTGTTTTTTTAGTATTAATTATTATTAAGATAGTACAGTGTATGAAATTCATTGGGAGTGACTAGGGAAAATTGTAACAAAGTAATTGAAAAGTTAGGTTAAAATTAGAATTGGTGTTGGTGTGAGCAAATCTGTTCCAATTCCTCAGCTGTGTAGATGTCAGAGCCACCTTCGAAAATTTTTAAATTGTTCTATAGTAGAAAAAGTAATTTTTAAAAAGAGTAGAAAAAAAGAAACATCTGAGGAATCACTAAATTTTCACACCTTTTATTTTTCTTGGGAACCATCCAGAATAATGAGAAAAAAAGAGTTCTCGAGATGCCTTGATGCGCTCGAGTCCTCTCAGCAGGAATTCGTACCGATCCCTTGAGGAACCAACAGACGCATGCTGAGGTAGTCTGGGGAGTCCCGCGCACCTCACCGCTCCTCTCCAGATATAAAATGGTCGAATTTTTGAAGTTTCATCCCGAGAAGGGGAATATCCTGATTGCGATTTGATACGTGCACGCACCGCGGAACGTAAGGCGACTCGGGCGTAGCAGACGAAACGGGAGGAAGATGCTCCTCCGCTCTCCCTCTCGCGTCGTGACTAGCACGTGCCTCCCCACGTGCTAGTCCAAGGTCTTCCGGCTCGCCTGGTGAAGGCCCCCGTGGCGCTCGAGTTCGTATCATCGATAATCCCCCCCCCTCCCCCCCCCCCCCCCTCCTCTCCCCCCCCCCCTCCTCTCCCCTCCCCCCCAAACAACAGCAGCAAGAAGTTTCAAAGGACATGGCTTTGACAGGTTGTAGTTAATGACACTCTAATAGCAACTCGTGCCGCCTGATCCTTAATGGCATCGGACGTGCTATATTCGTCCACGGCCCTCCTGACGCATGCAATGCTCCCACCTTGCTCTCGGTCACGTGCGCCATTCAATGACGCCAGAGATCGACTGTCGCGAAACAGCTGTTGTGTACGCTGCGTTGCCTCCTTTTTTTTTCTTGGAACGTTCAGGTGGTCGGCGCTATCAGTTACCGTATTGCTTGCCATGCTACCATCTTGTGGGGTGGAAGGTATGATTCAATACGAGTGATTCACGAATGAATCCATGCGTGCAGTATTTGCAAATTAATTAAAATCCGGATTTAATGGCGTTTATTTCGGCCGCAGAGGGACCGCAGGAGTTGAACTTCCATCGATAATTGAGTCCGCAACGAAAACATTGGCTGTCATAGGCAGTGTTCCTGAGAAAGTCTGATGACAAATTGAAGAGATTTCCCAAGTTTTATTTATTTATTTATTTTTTTTTTTATAGCATCGCAAGGCAAATGAATGCACGAGGAAGAACTGCGTGGGCCAAACCGGTATCACCCACTGAATACGAGCTAACCTTAAAAAAAAAAAAAAACTCATGAAAGCGAACCGAATGACGCCAGTTGCAAGACATTCCCTAATAAGGAGGAAGCTTCAGAGATCTTCAAGGTCCTCCGTAATAAATACAAAACAAAATTTTCATCCGGGTGACGTCGGTTTCTCTCAGTCGCAGTAAGATTTTATTCGCAAGTGATTCGCGAATCGCATTCTCATAAATCATCCGTCCAGGCGCATGACTTCAGTATTTTTTTTGTATTTTTTTCTTCCAAACCCATGTGACTTCTGGATTGGTTGAGGAAGTCTCTTTCCTGCGGGAATCGTGGCTGCAATAATTGTGGTTCACTATGGATTTCTACGCGGTGATTGAAGGAAATCAGGGATTGTGGGGATTCGATGTGATTGGGAATAGTAATTGGTTTCGGGATTGTGGGGATTCGAGGCGATTGGGAATAGGTAATTGGTTTCGGGATTGTGGGGATTCGAGGCGATTGGGAATAGGTAATTGGTTTCGGGATTGTGGGGATTCGAGGCGATTGAGCGTGCATACATTCCAAAGTTTGAGCTGCCAAATGGTGGGATCCATTGAGAGTTGGAGAGTCCCACGTAGCTAAATTTAAGCACATGGACACTACATGATGAGTGTTATTTTGTCATTATAGGGGCGAGGTATGGGTGAAGAGGAAGGAGCCGCCGGGAGGCCTGTCGCTTCTGTCGGCGACGAATCCCATGGACATCACCTATTCCGGCGTCCACTACTGGGTCCGCGACGGACGGAGAGGTAGGAAGCGTCCCTCAGAGTCGGTAGATTGAGGAGGCGGAACGCTCCTGACGGGAATGCTGTGACGCAGGGATGAAGGAGATCCTGAAGGGTCTGGACGGGCGGATAAAGCCGGGGGAGCTGACGGCCATCATGGGACCCAGCGGGGCGGGGAAGAGCAGCCTCATGAACGTCCTCGCCGGTTATAGGTCGCCTTCCCTATCCCACACTCCCCCTTCCAAACACGTCACTCTACTAGCTTCATCCTCACTAATCCAATTAATCGTCATATATATGCAGGCAGAGCATGTTAGTACTTGTTGATTCATTGTTTTAATGCAAAGTCAGTTTCGTCGCTGTCGTTTGATAAGGGGTGAAGTTGCTTTTATGCACATAATGTTTCTCATGGTACTCATGAGTAATTTTATGCTGGCTTAAACTGCTGACTTTTTTACTTGTGTAGTTGCTCTCGTATTAGATCGCACTTTTTATTTTTGGTGAATTCGGAAACCCCATTTCATGCATTGTATCACAGTTTTCCTTTCTTACACCTTGGTGCTGTATGACAGAAAGAACATACGTAAAATGACAACCACCAAGTTACATTTTTGCTGCATATCCTTCACGCAACAACAAATTATCATCACTAGAAGGAGAGATGATGTCCGTACACAATGACACGCTCAAAAAAAAAGTAGACGATGGAAAGGTGTGACTGACCACTAATACGCTCCTTTCTCTCCAAGTACTAGCACCTTGACCGCTCTGATCCCCTCATCCTTCTATGAATCGCATGTCGCATGTTCCCCACAGAGTGAAGGGGGTGACGGGGAAGGTGGAGGTGAACGGGCGCGAGCGGGACCTGCGCGTGTTTCGCCACCTGAGCACGTACATCCCCCAGCAGGACCACGTGATCCCCACCCTCACGGTCATGGAGTCCATGCTTGTCGCTGCCAGCCTCAAGCTCCCGAGCTCCGTGTCACATAAAGACAAACTCACAGCTGTATGTCTGCCATCCCCCACTTTTTGTTTTACTCATGCCAAATTGTATTTTATGGCTATCCTTGGCCAGAAATAAGACCACGGTGAGGATGAGGTATCTTCTCTCTCTCTGAAAGGTTAAGGTTAAAGGTTAAAGGTTAAAGGAAAGGTTAAGAAGAGACCTTAATCTGAAAAACCAGTTTCACTTTCTCGGGCCTTCCGTATTTTTTGTGAAAGATCTTTTCATTCCTGGAAATTAATTTTTTGAATGACTCATTCCTTGATCTGAATTTCATGGCAATCTGAAGCAAGGTTATCTCACTGCAGGTGGAAGAGATTCTGAAGCATCTGGGGATCCAGCACTGCGCCGAGACAAAGGCCTGGCATCTCTCGGGCGGGCAGAGGAAGCGGCTCTGCATCGCCATGGAGCTCGTCAATAACCCCCCGGTCCTGTTCCTCGATGAACCGACCAGGTGGGCATGTGCATATATATGCATCGGGATCATTCTGCCCGGTGTCATTTGTCAAAAGAGAAGTTTTGAAATGTTATGAGACTGTTTGACTTTGTTAAATTGGTGTTCGAGCAATTTGTGTCTTGACCTGTGAATCGGGGGATTCTCTGGGCGTGTTACTGCTTCCTGATATGTTTTTCTGTCTTTTTGTGCCTATTGTCCTCCCTTCATGAAGCCCAAGGTGAAGAAAATATGAACTTGATGTGAGGGGAATTATACCCTCAGACACGGCCATGAAAATGTCAAGTCTTAAACTATCATAAGCAAAAAGTTAAAAATACATTCTGGGATGGTGCATTTCTCAATCTCAAAATTAGTAATGAGAAAAGACTTTGCCTTCTAATGTGCTTCAAGGGAAAAAAAACTGCTGAATGACTTTGGGACGAGGGGGACTTGGCGACACCCTCTTTGATGTGTTATTCACGGTGACTTGCGATTGTTGATGCAGCGGACTGGACAGTTCCACCTGCCTGCAGTGCGTGTCCCTGTTGAGGATGCTGGCCCACGAGGGGCGAACCGTGATCTGCACCATCCACCACCCGAGCGCGAAGATCCTGGAGATGTTCGACCACCTGATTCTCCTCACCGAGGGCCTGTGCCTCTACCACGGCACCATCTCCTCGATGGTGCCTTATCTCCGGCGGTTCGGCCTCGACTGCCCGCCGTATCACAACCCGGCGGATTTCGGTGCGTTTCTCGTGCGGTGGGGGATGCGAGAGGAGTGTGCGTATCGGCAGATGAATTAGATTAGCTCTTCAAGAAATGGCTGGTGAAACAATAGGGACCAATAAGGAGTTTGAGCCCTCTCAGATTTCTGCAGAAATCTGAGAGGGCTCAATCCTCACCCTCTCAGCAGAGGAAATGTGTATGAGCTTTTTTGAAGCCAGTTGGAAGGATGTGCAAAATGTAGGCTTTGCAAAAATGTAAATTTAGGTTGGAAATAGAGATTGTTCTTTGCCATTTGGGCAAATGCAGAGAAAAGGCAGCTAATTCTCTGTTGCTTGGGGGATGCAGTGATGGAGGTGGCCGTCGGCGACAACGGGCGCGAGGCCATGAACGCCTTGTTTGCCGCCGCCAAAGCGGAAGCCACCATGCCTCCCGAGCTGGAGGGCCCCGCCCTCCAGACTCCCCTGCGCCTCGAGGGCGAGCCTCCGCCTTCCGCCGCTGCGTCTGGTATGCGTTCCTCCAGATATTCGTGCTTTTCTTGGTCATAAAAATTCATTAAGATGAATGTTGTTATGAAAGCTTTTTCTCTGGAAAGCCCATTTGATTAGTATAAAGGACAATCCAAGATAGGAGCGATGTTTGTTGAAACCCCATTGTCTGCCCACAAATTTTTATTATTATTTGGAAAATGAGACTCCTTGAAAGCCAGGGGGGAAACCCCCTGGCGCATGGGCATCTCACCCATGTGGGATGTCTCTGACCCAATGGTGGCAGCAGCATCGAGGGATGCGGAAAGGTTCGCCTCTCCCCTCGGCCCTGCCGTCGCACGAGTTTTCCCATCTTGTTGTGGAATCCGGGGGAGTTTCTCGATATCATGGGTGTCATCCTTGCCCATTATGCTTTACCATCCCCAGTAAGGCCATAAGCAAGTCCAAGATCGAGAAGATACCGGTCAGTGGCGAGTGTGCATGGGTGATTTGGAACGGCTGCCTGAGGAATAGTAAATATTTAATATTTAGTAAATATTTATGCAGTGCCCCATTGTAAAAAGAAATAGTCATTTTGCTTGGATGTGGATCATTGTTTTACACTGGTACAAAAACATAATTTTAGTTAAGAAAAAAAAATTGAATTCATTGCAAAAAACATTTGCAGTATTTTCCCTGTGGTCTTATGAGAGGAGCCAAATTGAAGTTCCATGGGAACCAATTCGCCGTGGAAAGTTTGGACTGTGCAGTGTCTCTGTAGTGGGAAGCTGCCTGCTGGGGTACCTTTCATTTGCAGCTTTTATTGTTGCTGAGGATTTTGATGAAATTGAAATGATGAGCAAACAGTATCCCTCATTTCCCTGGTGGAATGGCCTTGATCTTGCAATATCTTGGCCAGTTTTTGGGCAGTCTTCTCCGAAACCTCGAATCCGGTTCTCCGACAGGGCTGTGGACGAGATTGAAGGGGTCCGTCGGCCGGACGGAGACGAAGCCGCAGCCCGCGGACGCCGCCGTGGCGGAGTACGCCGTGTCCTTCGCGATGCAGGTCAAGTGCCTGTACCTGCGGTTCAACAAGACCAACTCCCGGGACCGGGTGAGACTTTCTGCCGTTCTAAAAAAGAATCGACCGCCGAGTCGTCCGAGTGCCGATGGTGCCCGAGAGGCATTCGCCGAACCGAAACGCACCCGTGCAGTCGGTTCTGTACTGCTAGCCGGCGCGCTTGTGTCCGTGGTGCCGATGATTTCAAGCAGGTGGTCCTGTTCCGATGCCAGACCGTCGCGGTGCATTGTCGTGTCTTCTGCACGAAACCCCAGCATCTGTAGGAAATGTTTGCGGTGGCCATGCGATGCAATGGTGCAGGATGTGCAGAAAAAATGTTTCATGATGACTGGCCGAAATCTTTACAGACGGAACTGCGTCAATACAATGTGCTTGTATTTGCAGATTCTCATGCACATTCGTTTGGGAGCTCACATCTTGGTCGCTCTGTTCCTGGGGACCCTGTTCTCCAACCTGGGCGACTCCGCCAACAATGTGTTCCGCAACGTCGGCTCTCTCTTCTTCAGCATCCTCTTTGTCGTCTATGGGTCCATGATGCCGACCGTGATCACGTGTGAGCGTCCCCTTCCTGTCGTCCGAAGGAGGCTCCATCTGCCCGAAGTTTAGCGGTTGCCCTCGGTCAAATGCATGGATATTTAGGTGTTTGTTGGCCTCCCTTACAGGGAAGTGTGAAATTATGGGTCATGCTGATACTTCTTTATCCATTTATTATGTAATATCGTTGTGGTATTCTCGTGGAACCTAAGGATTCGTTTTCTTCTTCTCATGAAGTTACAAATATAGAAAGAAAATTGGGGATGGAGACAGATGAAAGGGTATTGTACCATATACTCTCTCATATTTTCAAGTCTTCTTGTCTTCATAAATGGACCTGCCTAACACAGTTTCACCCCATAGGCTTCAGAAGTGCAAGTATCACCGATGGAAAATTTTTTCACCGTCGTGATTTCAGATCCATTGGAATTCCCCGTGCTGCGGAAAGAGACGCTGAACAAGTGGTACTCCCTGAAGGCATACCACGTGGCCAAGATGCTCTCCGACATCCCCTTCGCCGTGAGAGACCTCGCCCTCCCCCATCCCCCTTTCGAGCCCTGCACCCGCTCATCCCAAGCGTGATGTGTCCGCAGGCCCTCTGCACTTTCGTGTACCTGGTGATCTGCTACTTCATGACCGCACAGCCGATGGACGCCGACAGGTTCTTGAGGTATCTCGCCCTCAGCGTGTACGTCGCGCTCGTCGCCCAGACCCTCGGATTCATGATCGGGACGATCTTCCCCATCCAGGTCGACCGCCATCCGTTGCTTTGAATATTGTTATTAATTAGAATATTGTTATTGTTATATGTTATTTTTATGAATTAGTTATTGTTTGAGTCTGCTTCCTCCACTGGAACTTTGGAAGCTCTCTTTAACTTCTTTTCCCATCAAGCGAAGGTGATGGGCCCAGTGTCAGGATGAAATGTTTTTTTGATAGTCACTGATGCGTTTTCAGGTGTGATATGTTTTTTTATGTTGCGATACCTGTTTATATCACCAATGTCTTGGTGTATATGTAGGAGTACAGGCCAGCAGATGTTTCTGCCTTCTGATGCCTTTCAGCCTGTTTTTAATCTAGGCTGGCATTTAATAGGAAAGAATGCTGGAGAGGCTTCCTTCAGGGTAATTGATGGAGCTTTGCAAATGGAGAAGCGCGAAGGGATCCTGTAGAAAATTGCTGCAATTGGTGCTATGAGTGACCTATCATTGTAAATCCAAGCTCAATGTACCATGATCTGCATAAAGAAAAGTGTTCAAAAGGCAAAAAAAGGAATAAATCATGTATAGTTTGCAAAGTGTGATCGAGTGGGTCAATATGGTCAAGAACGGGTCATTCGGTCTGATGGTTGTGAGAAGATGCAAATGAATCGGGCAAGCGCAGCAAGTGAAATGCATGTTGGAAGGTAATGAGGATCAGCCTGAAGGAGGATGTGGATGAACTCTTTTATCAGGCTCAAGCAGGGCTGACCACGAAGAAGCACCGGCTGTCGGCAGAATCTTGCATAAATGGCCCGATGAGTATTGGGGAAGGCAGTCGCTTTCGATTCGTACGTTAACAATTTTCACCAAGGTTCATTTTTAATCATTTGAATTAATAGGCATTATCCATGGATTTGTGGTTTTCATGGAGTCCATCCCTATATAACAATCTCAGTCAGAAAAAATGGTGTGCTAGTGTGAAAAAAATTTTGTCACAGTCAGTCAATTGTCACGACCTTTTCCACATTGCAGACGGCGGTCTTCCTGAGTCCTGTGATCGCGCTGCCTTTCGTCCTGTTCTCGGGGTTCCTGCTGAGCGTGAAGTCGATCCCAGGATACCTGCGCTGGCTCTCCCACCTGTCTTTCCTCAAGTACTACTTCGAGGGGACGATGTCCTGCATCTACGGTTTCAACCGTCCGGACCTCCAGTGCAACGAGCCCTACTGCCACTTCAAGGACCCCGACCGGTTCCTGCGGGAGATGGGCCTGGAGGAGTACGTCTACTGGAGGGACTTCTGGGTCCTGCTTCTCTACAACGTCATCCTCCGCCTTCTGGCCTACTTCGTGCTCCGGTGGAGGCTCCATCGCGCCCGATGATGCCGGGCGTGCCTTTCGTCTTTCGTGAGAACGTTCCCAGGGTGGCATTTGGCCGGGATTCTTCGGCTCTCAGATTTTCTGTGATGAGGATATGTTGATAGTTTTTCTGTATGCAATAATGTAACACTATAAAAATTTTTTGTGACTGCTGATTTTTCTTGAAAAGGATGATGCTTACAAAACAGAGGCAACTGCTGGGAACCATGTATGGGTGGCCAAAAAATAATTTGACACTGAAAGGCTCTTTCAGCATCTTCACATTGTGTTCATCTCACTGATTTCTATGATGATTTAAATAAATAAATTCTTAACAGCAGTAAGATCTTAGTAAAGCCTTAATTGACACAGAACTTGACAGGTAAAGTTAAACATGTTAGGATATTTCTCTTCGTTGCATCCCTTATCACATTTTAAGTGGACACATTGAACCCAAATCAAAAGCCTTAAATAGGAATCATCATGGATATTTCATGAAAAGATTTACGAGAATTCCTCCAAGAAAAGAAAGGATGAAACAGAAACCAACTGGGAATTGCCTTCAACTGGCCGCACAACGTCGTTCCAGAGCAGCACGGAAGATTTCTTGAACAGCTGAGCCTCCCATGTAATCCCTGTGGAACTATCAGCTGGTGAGGAACAGCTGAGCCTCCCATGTAATCCCTGTGGAACTATCAGCTGATTCAGCCCTCCAGCCATCCTTCACCCTACGAACATCCAACTCCCGCGACGTGAGCTGGCACGTGTAACCTTCAGCCTTGGTTCAGCTTTCGCCCCCATGTTCCTTTGACCTTAAGCGGATTGTTCTCAAATTTCCTGCCAGTTTCCGACGAGCGTAAGAAATTATCTGTATACATAGTTGAGGCACTCGAAAAAATTTTTTTGCATCGTACAAATAAAGGAGAATGTTTTCATATGGCTCTCGGGAATATCAGTTAAAAACGGCAAACGGCGGAAAAGCAGCTTCCAGAAGAACCTCTGTCCTTGAATGTCCTTGAATATGACGTCGAACTCAAAATGATACAGTTCCGCTGCGGGAATGGGCGCGATGAAAATCCCCGGCGTTAATGGAGCCCTTCTCGGCCCCCCTGCCTGAATGAATGCATTGCAGCATGTCCATGCCAGGAGAGAAACCGGAAGGATTCAAAAGACAAAACGAGAAACGCTGGCTTGCAAGCCAACAGGCGACCCCAACCCAATTCGAACGGACCCCCAGGCGACTCAATGAGAACGCGCAAAAATAATTCCCGCCTGAAACAACCAATGAGCTTCCGTTTCGGCCACGATCCTCGCGAAGCAGAAACGCGGGAAAACATCCTCACCGGCTGTCCAAAGCGTGCACGGCGCCTCTGCCGCCTTCCCGCAACTCGACGACACCCTCGGACCTCCCTCTCGACGACACCCTCGGACCTTCCCAAGGGAAACCCCCTGCAAAGGAAGCTTTCGCTCTCTCGACCTTGCCCAACTGCCTCTGACCTCCATTCCTTCACCTCTGGGGGCGAAGTGAACATCCCGTCTCCACGGTCGGAGAGGATGAGACCGTACTGAGGTACTGGTACTGGTACTGGGTACTGAATAAATGGAGGACCCTTCTCTAGAAAGCATACGAATTTTAATCGATGTTGATTCAACGCTTTGCGTTTCAAATTGCGGGGAGAAATTAAAATAAAATAATAATAATAATAATAATAGTAATAATAATAATAATAATAATAATAATAATAATAATAGTAATAATAATAATAATAATAATAGTAATAATAATAATAATAAAAGTAAGTGCACATACCACAGCACCATCTCGTGGAGATGGACTCCATCTTGTCATCATACTTGCATGCTGAAGGTGACCTCTGGGATATTAACTGTGCAGTTTATGCAGCAGCACAGGTGCTGATCCCTTCCCGAGCGCCATCGCGAGCAGAAGGTAATAAGCACTTGAATCGTGTCAAGGAACTGGACACGAAAATTAAAGCTACCCGCCAGAAATTGTCAAGGGTGCAAGAAGTGATGAATAACACCCGTAGGGGTGTGAAACCGAGATCTTAAGTTATGGTGGCTTTTACAGCCATGTTAAGTCGTCAGCATCACTCTTTAAGCCTGTCCAAGCTGACAAACGTTAAACATCACTATATAGACAGGCTTCGCACTCTATCTAGCGAATGCTGCTAAGGATTCAGCGTGTGCAAGAAAATCGCACCTTTCTGCTGAATCCCTCTGCCTTCTTAAGAGCCGAAAGGCAATGACCCACTTCCACCAGTGGCAGATGTCCAGTCCTTCTGGCAAGACTTTGTACGAGAAGGTAGAACCATTTAATGCAGATGCATCACGGTTCAAAAGCTTCTGTGAGATCCGTCTAAAAGAAGCTGCTGACCCATCTTGCCCTCTGATTACACCTGAATGTGTGCGAGGAGAGGAAAAAGAAACTTCTCCGCCCCAGGGCCCGATGGGATCAATGACTCCTGGTGGGAAAAGTTCCCTTCGACGCGTTCCCACATCGGTCGCAATTTCCATTCTGGAAGGGAGCCAGCCGATTCCAGCGTGGCTGGTGGAGAACTGTTCTCATATCCGAGGGTGGAGACACTTCCCAGCCCAAGGCCAATTACTTGCCTCAATGACCTTTACAAGACCTTTAGACCTTTCAATCCCTTCAGGGATATTGAACGAAAACATTTTGTCAGAGATTACACCAGTCCGGCATGAGCTTTCCGAGCAGAGAGGTTGCAAGCGCGGCCTAGCAGGCTGCAAAGAAAATCTGCTGGTGGATAGAACCGTTTCTTCGGATGCTGTCCATTACAAGCGCAACTAGACCATGGCATGGGTTGACAATCGCAAGGCATTCGACACCACCAACCATCAGTACCTAACGGTACTGATCTCATGGGCGTCTGGAGGACGGGCTTCTGCAGGACAGCTGGGAGGAAAACGGCCCTTACTGACTACATGCAGTTCAGAAGGGGAGTATTTCGGGGAGATTCCCTGAGCCCTCTTTTGTTTTGCATCTCCCTCTTGCCACTCTCAGTTCAACTGAGGCAGACGACAGGCTATATATGGCAGGTCCACCAAGCTACCGCTCGCACAGGGTCACGCATCTGTCTTACATGGACGACCTGAAACTGCATGCGTGTAACCAGGGTCAACTTCAACAGGCTCTTGAAGTAGTTCACTCCTTCACCCGTGACATCGGTATGGAGTTTTGGTTGGATAAATGTGCTGCTCTCCACCTGAATAGAGGCAGAAGCACAGAACTAGGTGATGATATGCAGCTCGTGGACGGGACGATCATCAAACATCTTGCGCCATCTGAGCCCTACAAGTACCTTGGCCTGCCCGAAAGGGAAAGCCATCGCGTGCTAGACATCACGAGGGCAATGACCAGCAAGTACAAAGAGCGTCTCTGGAGAGTG